GCCAAACAGCAACAACAACAACTGCAATTGCAGCAGCAGCAGCAGCAGCAGCAGCAGCAGCAACAACAACAACAACTGCATTAGCAGCTAAAGCCTCTGGCTTTGCCAAATGACCTCAGCTAAAAGGCTAAAACGCAAAGACATTTTCATTCACAGCCGACATTGATATACAGTGGAAACTGCCATGGAACGAACTCACACACATACACAAGGATATACACAGACACAGTCAAAAGAGATTTAGTATAACTATAAAACATTTAATGCATATTGAAAGCAAGCCAAAACTCTTCACATTCTCAGCTTAGCAGTAAGACTAATTTAGCCGATTTACAGGGTATGTAGTTGCAAGAAAAATAAAGCAATTAAAGTAGTGATAGAAAATGATATGGTATTAAGTGTATAACATATTGCCTATTTATTGAACTATTCTTCTGACTATTTGCGTGAAAATATAACCAAAATAAATTGCTTAAATAAATTACAGAGTATTTCTGTCACAAAGCTAACATCTGGAGAGAATTGTTGTTATAATTGCACTAAAAATCAAAGACTACACCTACATATAGGGTATTAAAAGAATAACAGAAACGTACACTCAAATATTCGACTTTAATTATATATGTTACTAATATTCACTTTATTTTAAAAGTTGTTAAGTAAGTGTCGTTAAAGTAAAGATATTTTGAATGCACAATGCTTGTTGCACAATATATTCAGGGTATAAATCACTCCTTAAATCACACTATAGGGTATTATAGGGTATTATTTATGCACTAAGCATCAGCAATTTGCTGCCTCAACTTATGACAGCGCATTATGCATGCACAAATATGCAATAAATTATAGGGTATTTAATAGACAGCAGCTACAACTTAAGGCACAGCACTCAACGTGAACGATGCAGCAACAACTTTCATACATTTTTCATGACAGTTCAAAAGGTTATATTTAGATTTTACGCATTTATGCAATATGTTGATGGATCTCTATGTGTGTGCATGCGTAAGTGCGCACATATAATACACACACATATACATATATACACACACATATAAAATTATTCATATGCTGCACTATTTTTAGCGTCTGCGCAATTGCTTATATACAACAAATTTCGTTGCCAGTTTAACGCGTGCTGCCCCACTGTGCTGCTTGCGACTCTGCCATTGGCGCCGCTAACGTTAGCCAATCAGCATTGAGCAGCTTAAGCTGCTTGCAAGCTGTAAAGCAGTGCGCAGCAAGTAGTTCAGCTGTGAACAGTTCTGAGCTGCTGTGAGCTTGATGGAATTTCCATGAACTAAAAATGTTCTAAAATTTTAAAGTCCTTATGCAGTTTAACATGGCTATCAAGCGTTAACCATACAGCTGTTAGCTATGTTACGCTAACATAAGAAACTTGGCAGAACTGCGGTTAAGTTTTATAAGAATTTACATTTCCTTTTGTCGATGACTTTTTAGTACGTCAACGCAAGCACTTGACTGTAGGGTTAACGTTAACAGCAACAGCACTTTAACATAGTGAAGTAGAACAAATTAACATAACCCACAAGTAACATAATCAAAATATGTATAAGAATCTGCAATCTCAAAACATTACCAATTCCTATACATTTTTAAATGAAAATTTCGACCTGATTTTTCTGTTTTAAACCATTTTTATTTTTAAAAAAATTAACATGCCTTTTATTGTTGTTGTTTGCTTGATTTTGTTTTAACTATTATTATAATTACTAATTAAGTAAATGTTTTGTTACCTTTCTTAACCACTTTAATTGTTTTTTTTTTTCTTATATTTTTTTTTTAATTTATTATAGTATTTATTTTAGAATATACCATACAAATACCATTTGCCCTTTTTTAATTCCAATGAAAATGACATTTTATTTTTATTATAGTATTAATCTATTTAAAAATTCAACACGAAAGTTCAGCTAAAAAAAATTGCTCAATTGTTGCGTTCAACGTTAAACGTTTTTGATTTTTTCCATTTGTTTTTAATTGTTAAAACAATTTATTATTTGATTTGTGTTTTTGTTTTAAACCCAGCCACAATTTAGCATTAAATATTATTAATTAATATTTCGCCTTTTTATAACAATTTGTTCATAATCTAATTAACAAGTTTATGTAAAAGTTTTGTGTCTTTAAAAATAAAAACAAAGCTTAAAATTATGCATAATTAATTAATATTTTCAGAAAAATTTAAATTGAGCATTAAAATTAAGTAAACACAACAGCAAAAAAAAAATATTAAATA